TACGATAGACAAAGTGCTTTCATTTATTTTTTTTTTATACAATTTCTCATACAATCTAATAATTTTTTCTTTTCAGATAAATTATATAAAAAAAAACTGTCCGAATATTCATTCTATCCAATCGCTTTCAGCCATACATTTAGCCATTTTCAAGGATTAAATATTATAACTCTTAAATAAAAATATTTTTTGTTACATGTATGTATTTATATAACGTTTTAATTTTTTCAAAACACGGTCAACATATGTCCATGTTCATAGTTATTTATATATATATATATATATATATATATATATATATATATATAAAATGATAGAAATTATATATATATATATATATATATATATATATATAGATAGATAGATAGAGATAGAGAGAGATAGATAGATAGATAGAGAGATAGATAGAGATAGATAGAGAGATAGAGAGATAGATAGAGAGATAGAGAGATAGATAGAGAGAGTCAAACATAGACGTGATATTATCGATGTTATATTATCAGTTATTTAGCACAAACACTTATCTCTTCCGCTCACTTCATGCCAACAAATATGATCCATTCTCAAAAAGCTAGCATTTCCTTTTGTAATCCAGTCATAAGTAGATTTGTTAATCATTTGGAAAAGAATACGGTTTGACGTTCCTTAATCATAGAGTTGAAAAAATTTCTTTCGACGGGAAAATACGAATATGACAGGTTGATACGCTGACTTCTAACATCATAAACTAGATAATGGCAATGTATCGACTGTGTTTACTTAACCGACCGTTTTGATCATTCAAGACGAAATACAAGACCAAGAGTAAATAAATAAATGAAAGATCAGCTAGAAAATATCAGTGGGAAGTCGAACAGCCGGGCTGGCATGATTTACAAGGTCCTTTGACGTCCAAAAAAATAAAATTCGAAGTTGACAATTCTTTGATATATCTGCCTCAGATAACTGGTCCAAACAACAACAAAAATATCAGTATATATTATTTTCGAAGGGAAACTCCGAAATAACTTCAAGGAATATTACAGAAAATAAATTAGGTACTAGAATATCGTTTATTCTAATTTGTGGAAAATAAATCTGTCTTTTTTTTTTTTCATATACCTTGTAATTCGTTCTGATAACGAAGCTCGCAAATCTCTTAAAGTTGTTTTCAAAACACGGAAAGTATCCCAACTGTTTTGGGAAACATAATTAAAGCGGGTTTCTTGACATTTCCAAGTCTAAGTCTGATCACCATTTTGCATAGCAAAATGCCGCCATCTTCTTTTAAAGATTTCTGTAGACAGATTTATTTCTTGGTTTTCTCTTCAGTAATAAATGTATAAAAATTTGTATTAATAATAATCTATACAATGTTTGAGAGTTTGCATTTACGCGTGTTACGTCATTCTACCAACTGTCCTGGGTCAGTGGATAAACTACATCTGGCAGCAAGACCTCTGATCGGGAGGTTTTGAGGAATGTCGAACCACCTCTTAATTGCTGTTCTTCCCAGATCCACTCTGACCCAGGGTGGTAGCATCTGTTGGGATCCCAGGTATGGTCAAACAGTTGACCACCAAACTGGAGCCAATGAAATACTATACTATGAAAGTATAAAAATGTTATAGCAAAAATACTAGCAATAGATTTTCATAGAAAAATACTAGCAATAGATTTTCATAGAAAAATACTAGCAATAGATTTCTGTAAGGAAAAATATTATCATCAATGCATTTTTAGAAAAAAAAAATACCGGCAACACATTTCTGTAACGGAAATTACTAATGCTCCGAAGAAAATTAGATTTCGACATTAAATGACCCAAAATGTGTTGATATGCCGCTAAATAAACGGTTCTACTAACGATCAATGTGTAGTACCTACTCGATACTTGGCTTTTTTTAAAGTGAAGTCAGTTTTTCGTACGGCAGAGAAATCTCCACTAATAAAACTGTTCTAACCTAGGGAAGGTTACTGAATAGAATAATCAAACGAAAGTTGTTAATGAACGATAAGACTTAGGACAAAAACAATACATATTTTCGAAAATAGCATTTCGTATACGCTTCTTTTTCCCTACATTATTCGGGACAATACAGCGCCATGGGATGTGGCACGGAGCGGCTATATAAATGATGGCTGATTTTCGTTTCCGAAAAATCTATGAACAGAATATGTAGGTGACAATATATTTCTTCAAATCAGTAAAGAATTCATAACACCTTTTGTTTTGTATTTTCCGTTATATTTACGCAGCCTCATATTATCTTTAATATACGTAAAAAAAAAACTTACCAATATCTCCCAAGTTTAGCTTTGCCAGCTACAGGGCTGCAACTGTGGAACAGTCGGTGAGAAATGAACACACTATGGTAGTGGTAATCAGAAAGACATATTTATGACTCATTATTCCAGTGTTAGGGACATAAAGTACAATTATCGTAAGAGGTATAATTATATATTGAAACGACTCATATTATAACATATTACAAACTATCGCAAGTTATTTACGAGAGTCAGATATTGCTGCACAATCCTCACTTGCCTGCCTTGATAGTCTTCAAAAGCCTATACGCGAACTTGTGGGGATGAAGCATTTTCCATTCTACAACCACTTTCTCATTGACGAAACATCGTGGGAACCTCATTTCTACATCGCTATTTCCATGGCATGTGTCGAGGTGAGCTACATTCCTTAGTTCAACCAGCCCATTGTGTTCCACCATGCCACGCACACAGGAGTGAATCATCCTCATTTCCTTCGTATTCCAGTAGTAAGTTCTATTCGGACAGCTTCACAAGAACTGCAGCTTTGTGGAACAATCTCTAGGCAGGGTGTTTTCCTTATCACTACATTCGTAACACGCTTAAAGTCTTAGCGGAACGGTAGAGTAATAGATTGTGGCTCGGACTGAGGAATCAGCAGAGGTGAATTCGAATTTCACCTGAGTTCATTACGTTCACTTACGAGCTAATACCCTTGGTAAAGGTTTGAATCCAACTACTCCCCCCAGCTATGGGTAGGACAGACTGATATATGTGGCAACCGATCTACGAGAAGGAAAGCTCTGAATTTAAAACTATGTAAACTTGGCGAAGCTCATACTATACAACTAACGAAAGGATCGCTCACATTGACTCGATGATCCCGAGTGCGGTCGACTCCTTTTTTGACGTCTATGGTTAATTGTTGCTTTTTTCTGAATGACTCATTAACTTCACTTTTTTGTCTTTTCTTACGATCATACAAAACCATATAGTAAGCTGTATCTTGAGTGGATGTGGGACCTTGTATTAGGTAAACATTAGTATATAAATAAGTCGTAAGACTACAGACAGAGAGCAAGGTTAGCTGAATTTTTGCAGTACTGTGTCACACATTTCGGAAGCTATGGACTACTGGGCTTTATTCTGACGTTCTTGATGTGGGACTCGAAGTCCCAGTGTTTACTGGGTCAATAGTGATCTGAGCGTTTCACACTTTGGTAATATCAGTATGGAGGTCGGTGTATCTCTTGAGCTTGTTAATTTTTATTGAATATACTATCATCACCTGGAACAGCTACATCAATGAGGAGGCCTCTTTTTGCTTCTTTGTCAGCAATGACGATGTGTCGCTTGATGGACGTTATTATTATTATTATTAGAAGCAGTAGCAGACATAGTAGTAGTTGTAATAGAATTAATAGTAGTAGAAGTAGTAGTAGTGTGAGGAATGTAGTGCAATTGAAATCGGCGCGGAAATTGAAATTGGTGAGCCAGTCGATTTCAAATTCCGGGCGATTCAGTTGCATTCATTTTCGCATCAAGGGGATCCATCACTTGTCCGTTCAGCATGCTAGGCTTGGATTTCTAACTTTGGAAGTCAATTTGTCTACAAGAAAGAAAACACTGAATTTAGAACCGTGGAGAAGGCAACTAATATCTTTCACTAGAACTCATGATAATTCACATGTAATAAATAAAAGGAACCAGTGGAGAGCCATGATTGTCTATGTTCGGAAGTGGTGTGGCATTTTAGAAATAATATGATTAGTTCTGTATCTGTCTATATTTCTGAGATGAGATATTATGTACATTATTTACATTATTCGGATTAGTGTCCTCATATTTGTTGCCATATTTATTACAACGTTTCGGCCGTTGTACGCTCCGGCCTTCTTCAGGTGGTTGGAATGTAGAACTGAACCCTTTATTTCGCTCATTGGGGTAGACTGTTCTAGTTCCATGTGCCACGTTTTTAACAGATGTCAGTTAACAGTTATTTCCTGTTAATATCCATCTGAAAGTTCACTGCCTTAACCGGGTATTGAACTCACACTCTTTGAGTCCTGTCACTGGATCTAACTAACGCCTTTATCCACTGTGCCATGGTTCCTTGAGTGCGAGTTCAATACCCGGTTAAGGCAGTGGAGAACTTTCAGAGGGAAAACTAACAAGGGATAACTGATAACTGACATCCATCAAACATGGCACATGGAACTAGAACAGTCTACCCCAGTAAAATAAAGGATTCCGTTTGACATTCCAACCACCTGAAGAAGGCCGGAGCTTACAACGGCCGAAACATTGTGATAAATATGGCGACAAAGATGAGGTCAATAGTCCGAATAATGTAAATAATGATTAGTTCTATTATTAATAGTGATATTAGGTATAGTCGTATGTGTAGTCTTAGCTGTTATCACTGTCGATTCTGCTACGATTTTTTGGCATATTTTCTCATGTCTGAGTCGGCTTCTAACTCATTGTTAGATCACTTAGCCTTGATCTAAATTTATTTCAAGTCTGATTCAATCTTTGCGCCAAAGTTTTTGGATTTTATTTTATCATTGATTTTGAATTTTCTGCATTTATAAATATTTCACTTGTATTTTACTTATTTTTTTTTTGTCTTTTTCGCTTTTACTTTTCAATTATTCGCATATAATTCTGTCTCCTTTCAGAAAATGCTACCATTTTTTTATTTTGTTCACAGCTCTCTTTCCTGACTGTTACAAACCGAAATTAAATTTTCAATGGAGAAAAGTAATTCTTGTCAGAAAGACTGTCTTCTTGACTACTTTTTTTTTCTGTATTATTTAGTTTTCAAATCCTTCCCGTTTTCGCGCCCAAATTTTAAACCGAGTGAGGTAAGCCGCCGAATTTTGTTTTTCGTCGGGAATATGATCAGTCAGCCATGATATTAATTTCCACTCAACGAACAGCGGAACTTTGTTGAAAGCGAATCCATTCAATAAACTTCGACTGCGTGTCTTCCTGGCAAAAAAAGAAAAGAAGAAAAAGAATGAAAACATGGAATGATGCCATATTTCGTTTTCCCATTCTTTATCCTTTTTCACCTTTTTCATTTTAGTTTTATCTTCGCTTGTAATTTATTTTTGCATCCTGTTTGTGTTCATGCTACACTTTCGGGCTTATTTTAACTATTTCTTCCTTTCTTATCTTAGCACTTTTAATTTTCCCTTGTGCCTTTTTGTAGTCATAAAGACAATAATTTCTCCTCCTTTTGATCTACCCAGCTCATTTTCCCCTTTTATTGGCGTTTTTGTGTCGCTTCTTTTGTGGTTGTTTGATATTTATTAAGATTCACTTTGTTAGGCACAACGTCTAATGGAAGAAAATGAATGGAAAGAGATATGAAGCTTCTAATATAAATAATTAGTAAGTTTGGTCTGTTTGTAAGTTTGGGGAACACGGTAAATAATGGAACACACCAAATAATAATATTACTGTTTTTTTTGTTTTACACGATTTATCTATTTTTTGAATTATTTTTCTTACTATCTTTTGAACAAGAGTTCATCAGCGTTGAATTCTTTTTTTTCTATCTATCTCTTTTTTGTTTGTTTCTTTCTTATAGTTAAGCGCTTTTGTATTCTTTCTTCTTTCCTTGTTCATATTTCGTATTCATTTTTTTTTCTTTCATTCCTATGATTCAGCACTTTTTGTATACTTTCTTTAGAGCATAGTACCCGTGTTTGTTTGTTTCTTTCTTTCTTTCGTTTCCAAATTCATCAGTTTTCTATTATTTCTTCCATTCTCTAGTTCTCTCTTTTTCTTTGTTTTGCTTTGTTTTCTTTCTTTCTTTTCTATATTTTTTTCTTTCAGTTAAGCATATTTGTTTTCATCTTCCACTCTTCTCCTTTTCTTTCTTTCTCCCCTTTTTTTTCTTTCTTTCTCCCTTTCTTCTTTTTCTTTCTTTAATATTTTGTGTTTCTTTCCTCTCTTACTTTTAGTTAAGCACATTTGTTATCTTCTTCCCTTCTTGCCGTTCTTCCTCTCTTTCTTTTTTTCCTTCATTTTTTTTCCTTTAATATTTTGTTTTTTCTCTCTCTCTTTTGCTAGCGCATATTTTACTCGTTCCCTCTCCTTCCGTTCTTTCTTTCTTTCTTTTTTTATTTATTTTTTCTAATATTTTGTGTTTTCATTTTCTCTCTTTTAGTTAAGGATATATTTTCTTCTTTTCACCTCTTCCTTCCTTCCTTCCTTTCTTTCTTTTTACCGCTCCCATAATTTTCTTTATTTCTTTCCGATAATTTATCAAATTTATCATTTCTTTCATTTTTTTAGTTTAGCTCCTGAACTTTGGTTTGTTTTTTCTTTCTTTCCTTCTCTCTTTTCGTTGCTCATTTTTCTCATGGGTCGTATTCCTTTCTTCCTTTTCTTTCATGCTTTCATTTAAAATGAAAATCCAGTTTTCTCATTCCCATGAACTTATTCATAATTCCCTCGTTTATTTGAATTCTCATTACAACCTGCTTCGCATTTTATTATCTTTTTTTATATATATATAAATTCTCGCCATTCTTGTTCGTCGTTTCCACTGTTAATAGATTTTTTATTTGTCGTATTTTATATTGAAAAAAATTTGTTTCAGTTCTTATCTGATGATATTTTGATTTATTTCATATTCAACTCATTTTTTATCGAATAATTTCTTTCTTGCATGATATTCTTTCCGTATATTTGGGTATATTTCCCTTCGGCATTTGATTTTCTTCGTTACTCATGAGTTGCCCCGCTGCCAATCTTTCTTTGTTACTTTTTTTTTCTTGAATTCTCTTCATGTTGTTTAAATTCTTTATTTTATCTTTTTTTCTTAAATTTGGAATTACGAACTGTCTGATTGCAATAAGTTCTTTCTTTCTTTCTTTTTTTCTTGAGCTTAGCTCTCTATCTTTCTTTTTTCCTTAATTTAGCTTAACTCCTCTTTTTCTTTCTTTCTTTCTTTCTTTCTTTCTTTCTTTAGATTAGCTCTCCACCTTTCCTTCTTTCTTCTTTCTTAATTTAGCTTAATTCCATTCTTTCTTTCATTCTTTCTTTCTTTCTTTCGCTTAGCTCTCCATCTTTCTTTCTTTCTTTAGCTTACGTCTCCAACCTTCTTTCTTTTTTCTTTCTTAATTTAGTATAACTCCCCTTCTTTCTTTCTTTCATTCATTCATTCATTCATTCATTCATTCTTTCAGTATTAAAAAGTGATTGCCATCAGCAATGAATGTAAAATCAATTTTTTGCCACATAAATAATTTCTTTCATTTCTCGGTCAGTTTCTATAAATTCTTTCATTTTTCTTTCTCCCTAACCTTTTTCTGCTTATAATCCTTTTCGATGCGTCAATTCAATTCGTTTGCTTTTTTTTTTTTTAGGTTTCAGATTTTTCTTCATTGCTTTAACACTCAGATCAACTTTTCTCAGCTTCGTTCTTTTCCATCGAATCGCTTCAACTCCTATACTCACCCGCTCATTGCTATTCAACAGCTTTAATTTCTCGACAAGATGAACATTATTTTTCTCGCCTCTCAGATTTTCTTGTGGCATCATTTCTATTTCTTTTGGCCTGGTTTCATTTTTATTTCTTTTCTTTCTATTTATAAATTTGTTGCTTGAATTCTTACTTTTTATATATAAACGTAACTAATTATACTTTATTATTTTACCTTTTGTCTGTTTCCAGTTATTATTATTATTATTATTATTATTATTAAATATATTTCAACACTCAGAGAAAGACGTATAACTTGAAGGCAGATGTATTGTCGAAATATTATTAAACATTGTGAATACTGTCATGTATTCTTTTATTTTTAAATCGTGCTCTTTTCCAAGAGTATTATTATTGGTATTATCTTGATGCCCCCTACTGAAATAGTCTTCTAGGAATACTGTTCTTTAGGAAGGGTTTCTAAAATACTCCATACAATTCAAGAACATTTCGGAGAATTGTCGCTGAGTAAAACGTATTCTTTTGGAGTTCTGTAATCGTGGTCTCGATTCTAATTCCCCGTTAGCGCTATTCAAGTTTCTATGTGGTGTTTCCAACACACTTGCTATTAAAGAAATTACTTTAACAGTTATGTTCAATAGTTAATCAAACCCCCGAACCAGATCCTTGTATTTCTCAAACTTTTCATTTTTTTAGAGTGCCCTCTTGTGTTATATGGAACGGAAAATATCAATAATTTGACACATGCTATTGTCCTTATTTATGACAATAAGGTCGTGTTTTCAGGCTTCAATGACATGACCTGTGCCAACGGAGAAATACCATATCTTGTGTTTGTCATTTCTACCATTTCTTCTGGCTGATATTCATACCAATTCTCTTTCCAATTGAAACCAAATTTAAGGCAATTCCAAGAGAGTCTCTAACCAATACAACTGCGTCCTTGGTATGACGATAAACTACATCTGGCAGCAAGGCATCTGATAAACGTAGAATCATCTCTTAATTAATGTTGCTCTCAGGTCCACTCTGGCCGTCTTCCAATCCGATTGTTGTAGTTTTTAGATTTAGTTCAAGTTGGATTAGATCTCGACATCCTAAAGCTCATGGTACGAACAGCCTATCAACATTTGATTTCGGGTAGTTTATCCTCATTTGGGTAATCATTTCTCTGGTCCTATTGTCAAGTCTTTTAATATCATTCAACTTCCATTTAATAATGTTATTCTGGGTATAGCTAAGTTGTTGATAGCCTTCAATTAATTGGCACCATTATGTTCCCTTTCTAGTATCAAACGCATTCTCCTATAATAATAATTTCTAATCTTTTTCTTCATAATTCAATGCTGCATTTCCTCTCCTTCATTAAATACTTAATATTTCTGTGTACCAACTTAGTCTGATTCCTTAATCTTGTTGATATCAAGATCTAAATCTGTAGTTCTTGTTAGTCTACCGCCTTTGAATGTAGCTTTGGCACATTTGTCTATTCCGAACTCCGTCTTATTGTCTTTGCTGAAGGTTTTGACTATGTTAAGTAGGTTTTTCTGCTGGTTGTCATCCTTGGCAAACCTTTTTAAAATCATCAATATAAAATAGGTAATTCAGCTTGCCATTCTGTGTCTTTTATCCGTGGCTACTATTGTTCAGTCGGCGCTAATGTAAGGCAGAAGAGTAGTGGTGATACTTAATCTCCTTGGAAGATCCCGCTTTTGATATTGATTGGTCTCGATGTTAATGACCCGTTTGTATGGTTTAGACTTAGTGTAGTCTTCGTGTCTTTCATGCTCTCCGTCATGATTTTGACCGTTGTGGGGCATATTGTGTATCTTTTTGGCTCTTCTCTATCCATGAGTGGGGTATACTGTCGAACGTCTTTCTGTAGTAGATCCATAGTATCAATAACTTTCTTTTCCTTGTTTTCACCTCTTCCGATATTGTTTTATTGATAATCTTATGCCGCTGCTGTTGTAGTAATATTTTTATTATTATTATTAATAATAATAATAATACTTCTTTCCCGGTTATTGCCAATATCTCGAGTGAATTTAGGTATTTGATACATGCATACAAATTCTGGGGTCAAGTGATATTAACGTGTATGCCACCTATTTATTTATGTTGATAATACTCTCTAAGGAAGCAGGGAAGTTCCGCAGTAGAAGATATTCGAAAATCTGAAACGAATATCAAGGACTTAGTAAATATTCTTGATTGTATCTTTTTTGATCGTAACCCACTCCACAAAAAAAAAAATAGTATTATGACAGTAGATTTATGGCGCCAAACGTACTTTAAATGTAGTTTAACTATCAAGATGATTATATTTGTCAGGCAGCAATGCCATATCTCTGAGAAAACGTTTTCTGTTCCATCCCTTTTAAACAGTGTCTGTTCCGTTACATGTGCTACTACTATCGGTCTGAATGGGTAGTAATGACCCAAATAATAGTGGCATCATTACCTTCCATACATGCATCAGGATGCCATTCATACAATTTCTCAGACGTGGGGAAATGAACAGGGCATCCCTAAAGTCTGGACAGTCTTCTCCCTTAGCTTACTACACAAAATGTCGTCAATTCTGTCTTCTTTCGATAACTATTTTTAATCTGTGAATATATATATATATATATATATATATATATATATATATAAAGAAAGAACAGTAAGATATATAATCCGGTGTTCTTATAGATATTTTTATTTTTACAAAATAGTGCTCAATGTAAATTTACAGAGCATTAATATTATAAATTGATTGATTTAAAATATCTTTTTTTTCCGTTACACATTTCTAAGCATATTTCAAAAATGGAAGAAAAAAAAGAATTTAATTTTGTAATTAAATTAAAGACATTAATTTTCATCCTCAAGCGAATTTTGGAGTAACTTTGAAAATCTTTAAACTTTTAAAACCCAGTAATTTTAAAAGTTACTCCAAAATTAGATGCTTGAGGATGAAATGAACTAATGTCTTTAATTTAATTACAAAATTAAATTCGGGATTTTAGCTTCCATTTTTGAAACATGGCTAGAACTGTGTAGCGGAAAAAAACATTTTAAATCAATTAATTTATAAATATATATATATATATATATATATATATATATATATATATATATATATATATATATATATAAGGTAAGGGAGAAGTTATACTCAACAAAAAATCACACATGCAACACACTTAATTGAACGCATAATTAATGAGAAGATTCTGTAGTATAATCGAGCGTGACTAGGCATCACGACTTCAGTCATTTTCTCACCGATGTCGCGTCGCTTGTCTATTTTCTTTTTCACAAATATGTTCATGTCAACTGCTCTGACGATGTCTTTTTCCCCTAGTGCCCTGAACACATGTATTTAAGTGTGCTACAAGATTAGCATCTAGGTCCCACTGTCACACTGTTGAAATAGTTAAATGCAACCGCCACTTCCAATCGAACACTTTCCTTTCTTGCACTTTTCGCCCGTGGAAATCCCTCCCGTTTACTTGCTTCAACATCTTCAAAACATTAAGTGCAATGTCAATCGCCATCTCCTTGAATCCCGTTCATCTGTTGTCCTTTCCTCAATCCTTCTCATACTCAGTCTTTTCTCTAGCTTTTACTCTTTATAACCCCCCTCCTACACACACACACCTCGAGTACTAGTAGCATTCCCACCTTGCTTGAGGTGAAAT